GGGTTGAACTCCACTCAGTTTTATTAGAGGTTTCCCCTGCCCTTTCTTTAAAGATGTTCAAAGTTGGGAGCTCAGAAAACTACCCTTCATGAGAACCTATGCCTCTGCAGAGTTGGTCTAAGGACTGGCTCAATCAGGAGGTTTGAGAACTTGGGGGGAAGGTTTTGGGGGGTGTTGCAAGGGCCCTTGCATGACTACCTTCCTTACTGGGTCTGTTGTCGCGCAGTCCGGGAGGTCACGCACCCACTGGGTGATCTCAGGCAGGCAGGCAGCTGAAGAGACCCCCTCCAGAGTCCTTGTCCTTACTGTGTCCGGGAGGTCACGCACCCACTGGGTGATCTCAGGCAGGCAGGCAGCTGAAGAGACCCCCTCCAGAGTCCTTGGGTCCTTACTGGGTCTGTTGTCACGCAGTCTGGGAGATCGCACACCCACCGGGTGATCTCAGGCAGGCAGGCAGCTGAAGAGCTGCTTATTTGTTTTGTTTTTTTTTGAGACAGGGTCTCACTCTGTAGCTGAGACTGACCTGGAACTCCCTATGGTCTCAAATTGACCCCCTCCGGGGTCCTTGGGTCCTTACTGGGTCTGTTGTCACGCAGTCCGGGAGGTCGCACAACCGCCAGGTGATCTCAGGCAGGCAGGCAGCTGAAGAGCTGCTTATTTGTTTTTTTTTGAGACAGGGTCTCACTATGTAGCTGAGACTGACCTGGAACTCCCTATGGTCTCAAACTCACAGTGATTCTCCTGCCTCAGCCTCCCAAGTGCTGGGATTACAAGCGTGTGCCACCACACCCAGCATCTGCTATTTTGTAACAATGATAGCAAAGAAATAGGCAATGTTTTTCAAGTTTTCTCATATATGCTAGATATTTAAAAACTTCTTTCTCTTTATAATGTAGTTGGAAGGGGCTGGGAATATAGCTCAGTGGTAGAGAGTGTTGATTAGTGTACCCAAGGTCCTGGGTTCAATCCCTGGTACATGAAAATGGATTTGAATTATTCCATGCATCCGACTTTTCACACACACATACACATACATTCCTTACCCTTCTGCCCTCTTCGTCTTTCTCTTTATAATGTAGTTGGAAGGGGCTGGGAATATAGCTCAGTGGTAGAGAGTGTTGATTTAGTGTACCCAAGGTCCTGGGTTCAATCCCTGGTACACGAAAATGGATTTGAATTATTCCATGCATCCGACTTTTCACACACACATACACATACGTTCCTTACCCTTCTGCCCTCTTCACTCCACCTTCACTACTTCTGGAGTTCTTTCAGAGTAGCTTTTCCATAACACACAAGATGAAACAAAACATTTTCCCAACTATATCTGACGGGCCGGGTCATTTCATTGAGCACTCTTTCTTTCCACTACTGCGCAGGCATTTGGGCAGTCCTTCTCCATCCACCGTAAAGTTGCCGAGGATGGAGAGACTCGGGAGGAAACGCTTCTGCAAGAGTCAGCTTCGAAGGAAGCTTACTACCTGGGCAAGATCTTGGAAATGCAGAACGAACTGAAACAGAGCCGGGCTGTGGTCACTAACATCCAGGCGGAGAATGAGAGGCTCACTGCTGTTATTCAGGACCTGAAGGGTGTAAACAAGTACCATTTTCCTGAGGTATTGGTCGGGGGAGAGAAATCTCTGTAGGAGGAAGGAATAAGACTTTCTGTAATCAGAAGAGCTGTCTGAAGCAAGAAGCATGTAATACTGATGCTAGCAGGGGTTTTTATTTTATTTTGGTACTGGGGATCGAACTCAGGACCTTGCACTTGCGAGGCAGGCGGTGGCACCGCTGACTTAAATCCCTGGCATTTTTTTTTTTAATAGTAAAATAGCATCTTGCTTTGAGATGAGCTTTTCTCTATTTTATTTTTTTTTTTTTAATAGTAAAATAGCGTCTTGCTTTGAGATGAGCTTTTCTCTATTTTATTATGTTTTGAGAATTAAAATTTTCTTGGGTTGAGTATTTTGGAATTGGCCTTGCTAGTTTTGCAAAGGCATTGAAAAAACATCGTGACCTTAGACTTCTTCTATCCAATATCTGTTCAGATGAGAGGTGGAGAACGTCAGTGGGCTGTAATGGTTTGTAGCAGCACCAATTAGAATGATAGCAGTGGCGGCTTAGGTTAACCTGTTTTTCTGGTTATAAAGAAGGCAGCAAATTATAGCTGGTATGAATTAGGTGAGTGTATGGATCAGCTTTTCTGTTGCTGGGGCAAGATACCTGACACCACAACTTAAAGGAGAGGTTTCAGAGGTTTTATTCTGGAATTGGCTGGCTCCAGTATAGACGCATTGCATTGTGGAAGGGTTGGGGGAGCAGAGTTGCTTGGCTCATCATAACCAGGAAGCAGAGAGACAGAGAAGGCCAGGGAGAAGTGAAGGAGCTGCAGACGGATACACCTTTCCACGTTACACCCCTGTGAAGCTGCTCCCTCCGGTCAGGCCCCCCTCCCCATAGCTCATTCAGCTATGAGTTTATCTGTGGATCACTCTGTCAGTGGGGTTACTGCTCCATGATCCATCTGATCACCTTCCAAAAGCCTCACCTCTGAACACCTGAGCACTTTTGGGGACATTTTTTATCTATATCATGAGTAAAGGGATCTCCATACTCTCTGAGCCTCCACCAAACTACTTCTCATCAGCTCTTCCAAGGTAGCATCATGTGCTGGATCATTTTCAGACTGTGGAGTCATTCTTTAGTGGAGGGCTGGTGAAAGGTAGATAACCAAAGTCCCTGCATCCATATAACCCTTTTAAAACATTTTTTGGGAGCTTCGTATTAAATTGCTTGTTCTATTTTTATAACTTAGCAACTTGTATTAATTGTGCGTGATATTTTAACACACGTATACAACACGCACATACAAAAGCTGTGGGAAGAGGTGCAGGTGTCTTTCAATATCCACACCCATGCGGCTGCCAGGACAGCAGTTGAGGAGGTTCATTGATTGAATATTTTAACAACAGAGAAATGTAGGATGAACAAATTGTTTAATATTCCAAAATCTAAGAGAAGCAGTCCCTCCTATCCAATAGTGCAAAATTTAAGAGTAGGACCCTTCGCTGGAAATTGTGACATATGACAAGTAGATTTCTATTACTATGAGCTAGAAGTTGTTCAGAATTGATTGAAATTTAATAAATTACATTTCCACATGTCTGTGCTATAATGCACTCAGCAAATATTGACAATACAGTGTCTGCTTTATTCCTCTCATTGCCTTTGGACCTGTCCAAATACAGCAGTGTGACAGCTAAAGTCAAAGACAGGAACTGATCTTGAGGCATCAGCGTGGGATTCGGAGAAGAGCATGAGACAGTTTTCGGGATCCTGTACTTATTTCCCTCCATGAAAGCCACTGTTAAATATAGAGCTGCTCTCCAGTCCTTTACTTGGTGCATCTTTAATTGGATGTGCCTGTTGGCCCACTGTACCCTCCTCCTCCAAGGAGTCACATTTGCACTGACTCCAGCTTCCCTGTGAGAGTAGCATCCATTGTGGCAGTGGCCCAGAGGTCATGCAGTGCCCTTGCCCACTGTCTGGAGCACCCACGGCAGGCAACCTCAGCCACCACGAGCGAGCAAGTTTCTGTACAAGTTGGCAGAGAGGGCCAGGGATGGCACCAGCAACTGAGGCCCATAGGCACACACACATATGCAGGCCAGTTATCGAGAACTGTGACCAGTGGGTCGAGCTATCTGGATGGTCAGCTGGCTGGATCCTATGAAAGCCGCACATCTTACCTCTGGGGTGGATGCTGCTGTGGAAAGTGCAACAGAGATTTAGGAAAGGGCAGGATATCCAGAGATGTTTTCGGTGTGAGTCAAGACTGGTGACTGACAGAGCATCCTGGACTGCATATGCTGTGTCTGAGTACAGTTTCTTATGAGTGGGTTTATGATGAGCAGTAAAAGTGGATTAAGAATGAAGGGTAGCAAAGCGGGGTGTGGTGCTGCACACCCATGATCCTAGCTCTCAGGAGGCTGAGGCAGGAGGATTGCTATGAGTTGGAGACCAGCCTGTGCTGTATAGTGAATTCAGAGCTGACTTGAGCTACATAGTGAGACCCTGTCTCCAAATACCAGAGAGAGAGAGAGAGAGAGAGAGAGGGAGAGAGAGAGAGAGAGGCAGGGAGGGAGGGAGGGAGGGATAGTTTAGAAGTGAACTAAGGCAGTATAAAAAAAAGAGAAAATAATTCTAGGAGTCTGTCTTAGTTACTTTCTCATTGCTGGGACAAAGTACCTGCCACCCCCAGTTTAAAGGAGGAAAGATTAATTTTGGTTCGTGGTCTGAGCAGTTTTGTCCATGGCTCGCCACTTCAAGTGCTGAAATGGCATGGGAGGGGCCTGCTGTAGAAGCAAGCTGCTGTTGCCTGACAGCGAGGAAGCAGAGAGCAAAGAGAGTAACCGGGGAGGGAGCTGCACCCCTCCGGGCCACACCTCTGTGATCCAAGTGCTTTCCAAAATCCACGCCTCTGAACACACTTCGATTTGGAGGAACGTTCTGCATCTAAACAATAACGTTCCACCCTTGGCACCCAAAAGTCTCATGTCCATCTCTTTATGCAAAGTGCATTTAGTAACAGTCCCAGACTACTAAAAACCCCCAGTCCTGAGTCTCTTCTGATACCCTCGGTAGACTTTTAGCTGGGAGCCCCTGTAAAAAACAAAAAGAAAGTTAAACACTAGCTGGACATGGTGGCACACACCAGTAATCCTAGCACTCAAGTGGCTGACACAGGGTGGTTGCAAGTTTGAGCCCAGCCTGGGCAATTTTGCAAGACCCTATCTCAAAATAAAAAAGGGCTAAGGATGTAGCTCAGTGTTAAGGTCCTGAGTTAAGGCCTCCCATACTGCAAAAACAGACAAACAAACAAACACTGCTGGCATAAAATGGCACAGGGTAACATTCCTATTCCAAAAGGGAGGAATAGGGGGATAGAAAGGAATTGGACCAAAACAAGACTGAAACCCAGCAGGGCAAACATTAAATCTTGTGGCTCCATGTCCAACATCCCAGTGGAGATGTGCTAAGCCGTGAGCTCCAAGGAGCCATGCAGCCCTAAACGTATGCTTGTTACAGCCCTCAGCCTCTGGATTGGCTCTACTCACTACCTCCAGCTTTCCTCCTCAGCCATTCCATCTTCCTGCCATATCACAATAGCTGCCAGGAGCACATGTGGCCCTTTCCTCTTACCTCAGGCTAATGCAATTTCTGGGAACTATAGGAAGCTTTTATACAATAGCTGCTGGGGTCCAAATGTGTCTCCCTTGTTGGAATTAATCACCGGCGTGGGGCCGTCATGAGGGCAGAGCCCTCATGCATGGGAGTAGCACCTTTAAAAAGGCTGGAGGGAATTATTGAGGCTTTTTGCTTTCCTGTCCCATAATTCTTCCTTTGAGAAGATGCAGCCACAGGTGCCATCTTGGAGTGGAGGGCAGCCTCACCAGACTCCTGCTGGTGCCTTAATCACAGACCTCCAGCTTCCAGAACTGTAAGGAATACATTTCTGTTCTTTATAAATTACTCCATCTTAAGTATTTTGTTATAGCAGCAGGAACAGATTATGACAATAGATAAATTTGTAATTTGTTGTAACATTGTTAACATTTTAGTAGGATATGATGATTTTATATTTTAAAAGCTGCTTAATTAAAATAATTTTTATCATGTGTGAAAGTCTAGTCTTTCCCTCTCTGGAATATACAGTAAGGTTTCACAATATATCAGTGACTCAATTTCCAGAAATCTATTATATTACTCTGTTAAGGATATGTCTCTTCTACCATAAAGAAGCCCTTTTCATAAAATTTTAGGGTGGAAAGGCACCTCAGAGGTGTTTTGTTAAAGACTTCAACTAGTCATGTGGCTGTTATTCAGACACTTCCAATGGTATGTAAAAGATAAGCTGAGTTCATGTTGAGGAAAGGATTGGATTCTGTCTCACATTTATCTTGACATTCCCAATACCCAGCACAGTGCCTGACCAAAAAAAGACATCAAAGATAATATGTATCGAGCTGAATTGAATTACGGTTAGCCCTCCTTGGGTTTGTTCTTTTGGTACTGGGGATTGAACTCAGGAACTTGCGCTTGTGAGGCAGGCATGGTGCCATTGAGCTAAATCCCCAGCCCTTCCTTCCTTGGGTTTGGATTTCAACTGTGCCACTTACCAATTATGAGCTATTGGACAAGTTACATAGCTCCCTGTGTTAGTCAGCTTGCTGTTACTGTAACACACATCTGAGCAACTTCACTTAGGAGAGGTTTATTGTGGCTCACAGTTTTGGAGGTTTCAGTCCAAATCAAGTGGGCTTATGTTTTTTTAGCAACGCAGCACGTGATGGCAGGAAATGGAGGGCAGAACAATGCCTTACCTCACAACAGTGACACAAAAAAAGAAGAGCAGAAGAAGGGGTTGGGGCTCCACTCTCCCCTTCAAAGACACCTTCAGTGACCATGAGATCTCCCATTAGGACCTCTCTCTACTGCCTTCCAGCAGAGCACATCTGGAGACCAAGCTTTAAACACATGGACGTACGGGGACATTCAACTAACTATATTGTTGTCTGTGTTCAATTTCC